CGTTGAGCTGATATTATTTCTGATAGCCGGGTCGCTTCTGACAAACGGAGCTATACAGTCGCTCAGTGGTGTAGACTTACCTGGTTAGATTAAAACAAAGTTGGATAGTTTCGGCTGACTTAAAACATTCCCACTTAAGTCCAATTTTTACTTTCATTATTATTTTCCAGGGGGTAGGCAGAGCCGGAGAGAACACGCAAAGTTTATTGCAAATTGTATCACCCACCCACCCCCAAAAATATATAAAGGTAATCGCGATAAAATATGAGCAGCAGCAGCAGCAATCATCAACAACAATCATATCACGGAGCGTGGTGTGATACGTTTTGGGTGGAGTGGTAGGGGTAGAGTGGTAGGGGTAGAGTGGTAGGGGTAGAGTGGTAGGGGTAGAGTGGTAGGGGTAGAGTGGTAGGGGTAGAGTGGTAGTGGTAGGGGTAGAGTGGTAGGGGTAGAGTGGTAGTGGTAGGGGTAGAGTGGTAGGGGTAGAGTGGTAGGGGTAGAGTGGTAGTGGTAGGGGTAGAGTGGTAGGGGTAGAGTGGTAGGGGTAGAGTGGTAGCGGTAGAGGTAGAGTGGTAGGGGTAAAGTGGTAGTGGTAGGGGTAGAGTGGTAGGGGTAGAGTGGTAGTGGTAGGGGTAGAGTGGTAGGGGTAGAGTGGTAGGGGTAGAGTGGTAGGGGTAGAGTGGTAGGGGTAGAGTGGTAGGGGTAGAGTGGTAGAATGGTTTTAGGGGTAGAATGGTCCACCCCTACTGCCACTCTACCCCTCTCACCTCCCCGCGTAGCCATTATGAATCCAGGGTAGCTTGACGGGAAGAATTAACACAACCGGTAACCCTTAACCGGTAACCCTTAACCGGTAACCCATAACCGGTGACCCATAACCGCTAGGAGCATCTGCAACTTTGCAGGTTGCACGGTTAGAAATTCCACCGTGCAGTGTGGTGAGTGGGTGAGTGATTAGGTGAGTGGGTGGGTGAGTGGGTGAATGAGTGAATGGATGGGTGAATGGGTGAATGGGTGGGTGAGTGAGTGAATGAGTGAATGGGTGGGTGAATGGGTAGGTGAACGGGAGAATGGGTGGGTGAATGGGTGGGTGGGTGGGCGAGTGGGTGGGCGGGTGAATGGGTGGGTGGGTGGGCGAATGGGTGGGTGGGTGAATGGGTGAGTGGGTGGGTGAGTGGGTGAATGGGTGGGTGGATGGGTGGGTGAATGAATGGGTGGGTGAATGAATGGGTGGGTGGGTGAATGAATGGGTGGGTGGGTGAATGAATGGGTGGGTGGGTGAATGGGTGGGTGGGTGAATGGGCGGTGGGTGAATGGGTGAATGGATGAATCGGTGGATCGGTGGTAGAATGAGTGAATAGGTCGGTGGGTGAGTGGATGAGTGGGTGAGTGAGTGGGTGGGTGAGTGGGTGGGTGAGTGGATAACCTTAACCGATAATCTGTTATCAATAACCAATTACCAATAACTATAACCAATACTCCGCCATCGATGACAGGTAATCAATGACCGATAATCAAAAACCAACAACCGATAATCACCGATAATCAATACCGGTCGCATTGTATCTCCACGGTAAACAGTGTCACTGAACCGATATTTCGCGATCAACCCATTGTAAACATCACACTTATCGACCCAGCAGTGACACACCGTGATACAGACAGAGGGCAGCAATGACTCACGGCGCTCGTGACACACAGTGGTACAGTGTCACACAGTGGTACAGTGGTACAGTGTCACACAGTGGTACAGTGGTACAGTGTCACACAGTGGTACAGTGACACACAGTGGTACAGTGTCACACAGTGGTACAGTGGTACAGTGTCACACAGTCACACAGTGTCACACAGTGGTACACAGTGGTACAGTGTCACACAGTGGTACAGTGTCACACAGTGGTACAGTGGTACAGTGTCACACAGTGGTACAGTGTCACACAGTGGTACAGTGTCACACAGTGGTACAGTGTCACACAGTGGTACAGTGGTACAGTGTCACACAGTGGTACAGTGACACACAGTGGTACAGTGTCACACAGTGGTACAGTGTCACACAGTGGTACAGTGGTACAGTGTCACACAGTGGTACAGTGGTACAGTGTCACACAGTGGTACAGTGTCACACAGTGGTACAGTGACACACAGTGGTACAGTGTCACACAGTGGTACAGTGGTACAGTGTCACACAGTCACACAGTGTCACACAGTGGTACACAGTGGTACAGTGTCACACAGTGGTACAGTGTCACACAGTGGTACAGTGGTACAGTGTCACACAGTGGTACAGTGTCACACAGTGGTACAGTGTCACACAGTGGTACAGTGTCACACAGTGGTACAGTGTCACACAGTGGTACAGTGGTACAGTGTCACACAGTGGTACAGTGACACACAGTGGTACAGTGTCACACAGTGGTACAGTGTCACACAGTGGTACAGTGGTACAGTGTCACACAGTGGTACAGTGTCACACAGTGGTACAGTGTCACACAGTGGTACAGTGGTACAGTGTCACACGGTGGTACAGTGTCACAGTGGTACAGTGTCACACAGTGGTACAGTGTCACACAGTGGTACAGTGTCACACAGTGGTACAGTGTCACACAGTGGTACAGTGGTACAGTGTCACACAGTGGTACAGTGACACACAGTGGTACAGTGTCACACAGTGGTACAGTGTCACACAGTGGTACAGTGGTACAGTGTCACACAGTGGTACAGTGTCACACAGTGGTACAGTGTCACACAGTGGTACAGTGGTACAGTGTCACACGGTGGTACAGTGTCACAGTGGTACAGTGACACACAGTGGTACAGTGTCACACAGTGGTACAGTGGTACAGTGTCACACAGTGGTACAGTGACACACAGTGGTACAGTGTCACACAGTGGTACAGTGTCACACAGTGGTACAGTGGTACAGTGTCACACAGTGGTACAGTGTCACACAGTGGTACAGTGTCACACAGTGTCACACAGTGGTACAGTGTCACACGGTGGTACAGTGGTACAGTGTCACACAGTGGTACAGTGTCACACAGTGGTACACAGTGGTACAGTGGCACACAGTGGTACAGTGGTACAGTGTCGCACGGTGGTACAGTGGTACAGTGTCACACAGTGGTACAGTGTCAAACGGTGGTACAGTGTCACACAGTAGTACAGTGCTAGTGTCACACATTGGTACAGTGTCACACAGTGGTACAGTGTCACACAGTGGTACAGTGGTACAGTGTCACACATTGGTACAGTGTCACACAGTGGTACAGTGCCACACAGTGGTACAGTGTCGAACAGTGGTACAGTGTCGCACAGTGGTACAGTGTCACAGTGGTACAGTGGTACAGTGTCACACAGTGGTACAGTGGTACAGTGTCACACAGTGGTACAGTGTCACACCGTGGTACAGTGCTACAGTGTCACACATTGGTACAGTATCACACAGTGGTACAGTGTCACACAGTGGTACACAGTGGTACAGTGTCACACAGTGGTACAGTGTCACACAGTGGTACAGTGGTACAGTGTCACACAGTGGTACAGTGTCACACGGTGGTACAGTGTCACACCGTGGTACAGTGGTACAGTGTCACACAGTGGTATAGTGTCACAGTGGTACAGTGCCAGACAGTGGTACAGTGGTACAGTGTCACACTGTGGTACAGTGTCACACAGTGGCAAAGTGTCACACAGTGGTACAGTGTCACACAGTGGTACAGTGGTGCAGTGTCACACAGTGGTACAGTGGTACAGTGTCACACAGTGGTAGTGTCACACAGTGGTACAGTGTCACACAGTGGTACAGTGTCACACAGTGGTACAGTGCTACAGTGTCACACAGTGGCACAGTGTCACACAGTGGTACAGTGGTACAGTGTCACACAGTGGTACAGTGTCACACAGTGGTACAGTGGTACAGTGTCACACAGTGGTGCAGTGTCACACAGTGGTACAGTGGTACAGTGTCACACGGTGGTACAGTGGTACAGTGTTGCACGTTGGTACAGTGGTACAGTGTTGCACGCTGGTACAGTGGCACAGTTATACAGTGTCACACAGTGGTAGTGTCACACACAGTGACACACAGTGACACACACACAGTGACACACAGTGACACACACACAGTGACACACAGTGACACACACACAGTGACACACACACACACACACTGACAAAGACAAAGATCCCCCATATAGCCTTAACAGACTGTAGGGGCAAGTGCTGTTAGCGAGCACCTATGAAGGCCAAAGCGACACAAAAGGGGGTGGGTGGCCAGCACCACGCCCGACCGCCTTTGTCTCCCCAGTGGCGATGTTTACACACCGCACCAGGTACTAATTTGAGGCTGAGTCGACCTAGGGGAGGCCCGGGACCGGTTCAGATAATCGTCACTGGTGTTGGCCGTGAGCGGGAATCGAACCCGGGTCGCCAGGTTCATAGCGCAGCGTAGCGCTAACCACTACACTACCGCTCCCCTGACACACACAGACACTCAGTGACACACACACAGTGACACACACACAGTGACATAGTGACACACACTGACACACACAGTGACACACACAGTGACACACACACAGTGACACACACAGTGACACACACACAGTGACACACACAGTGACACACACAGTGACGTCACACACACAGTGACACACACACACAGTGACACACACAGTGACACACACAGTGACACACACAGTGACGTCACACACACACACAGTGACACACACAGTGACACACACAGTGACACACACAGTGACACACACACACAGTGACACACACAGTGACACACACACAGTGACACACACACAGTGACACACACAGTGACACACACAGTGACGACACACACAGTGACACACAGTGACACACACAGTGACACACACAGTGACACACAGTGACACACACAGTGACACACACACACAGTGACACACACAGTGACACACACACAGTGACACACACAGTGACACACACACTGACACACACACAGTGACACACACACACAGTGACACACACAGTGACACACACACAGTGACACACACAGTGACACACACAGTGACACCCACAGTGACACGCCTATGACGTCCGATCTCCTTCGTCGCGACGCTTCAGGGCGTTGAGTGCAGCGTGGATCCGGAAATGCAGCCTCGACTCCAGAGAGTACTTCTTGTAGTTAGTCCTGTAACACACACAGTGACGTCACACACACACAGTGACGTCACACACACAGTGACACACACAGTGACACACACAGTGAAACACAGTGACACAGTGACACACACACATTGACACACACACATTGACACACACAGTGACACACACACACAGTGACACACACACACAGTGACGTCACACACAGTGACACACACAGTGACACACACACACACAGTGACACACACACAGTGACACAGTGACACACACAGTGACACACACACAGTGACACAGTGACACACACACAGTGACATCACACACACACACAGTGACGTCACACACACAGTGAAACACACACACAGTGACACAGTGACACACACACAGTGACGTCACACACACAGTGACGTCACACACAGTGACACACACAGTGAAACACAGTGACACAGTGACACACACAGTGACACACACAGTGACACACACACAGTGACACACACAGTGACACACACACAGTGACACACACACAGTGACACACACAGTGACACACAGTGACACACACACAGTGAAACACAGTGACACAGTGACACACACACAGTGACACACACAGTGACACACCCACAGTGACAACAACAACGACCGCCATTCGCCACTAAGTGGCGGTGACGTCACCACGACGCTTGTGCCAGGCTATGTGCACCCTGAGGCCACGTGAAGTGTCGAACGCCCGCTGGCAGGAGGTCACGGGGCAGACCCAGGTGCCACGGGTCGACTGACTGAGATGACTGGCTGATGCACCACCTATGCCCCCTACTGTGCCAACCTGCTGTGCTTTAGCCACCCGGCGCTCCGCTCGCTGTTGTGAGCGTCGCTCCTCCGCCCTCCGTTGTTGTTGGAGGGCGACTGCCTCCAACTGCCCAGTAGCATCCTTCACGAGCCTCCTCCACAGAGGCCGATCTTGACACCGCTGGTACCAGTCATCGGCAAGTCCACTCAGCTCCACGTCCTCCTGTACCACATCACTCCATCTCTTCTCTAGCCCGTGCCGCGCCCGCTTAGCCCCCTCAATCCGGCCAAACAAAAGCTGTTTCGGCATGCGGTGGCTGGGCATGCGGGCTACATGACCCAGCCATCGCAGCCTTGCCTGCCGGAGGAGCTCACCGATGGGACCCTGCCCAGATCTTTCAAGGATTTGTGAGCTCCTCACACAATCCAGTCTGGTTAAACCCAGGATGGATCGTAGGCAGGCCAGCCTAAATGTTTCTAACCGGCGAAGATGTTCCATTAGGGGGGTCCACGTTTCGCAAGCGTAGAGAAGGGAGGGAATGACCGTGGCCGAGAAGACCTGAAGCTTAGTGAAGAGCGACAGACCAGGTAGCTTCCACACAGCGTTACGCAACCGATGAAAATATATTGCCGCTCGACTGATTCGGAGTGAGACCTCTGCTGTTAAACTGGAGCCAGTCATAAGCACACTGCCCAGGTATGGCAAACTCTCCACTCTCTCCACAACTGCCCCATCACCGATTGGGAGTTGTGGGGGTGGAGTGTCCGATGGTACAAAATACCCAGGCAGGTGCTTAGTTATGGTGGGGCTGATGGTAAGGCCCCATCTCTTAGTTGCATGCTCCAGTCTCAGCAGCAGCGTCTCCAACTCCTCCTCTAAATGAGCAGCTATTACCAAATCATCGGCATACATAACATGGTTGAGCAATAGAGAGCCATCCCTTGACTGCACCCGGGCATCGATCAGCCTCCCATTATATCTGTACCATATGGAGATTACCCCGGTACAGCTATTGAAGGCTTCAAGAACTACGTGGTCAAAATAGATGTTAAATAATGTGGGAGCCAGAGGACATCCCTGTCGCACCCCAAGGTGTACAGGGAATGGCTCTGACTCCCGGCCACGTAGTTTTACCCAGGCCCGCTCACCATCATGAAGGTCCTTAATGATCGTGAGCAGAGGGTCAGGTACTCCAAAAGCACGAAGAACGACCCAGAGCCCAGGCCTACTGATGGTATCATAGGCCTTGACCAGGTCAATAAAGCAGAGATGTAGGTCTTGTTGGAATTCCCTACACCTCTGCTGTAGCAGACGGACAGAAAATATGGCATCTGTGCAGGTCCGCCCTTTCCTGAAACTGCATTGGGGCTCCGCAAGCCTCTCCTCAGCGTGCCTGGCAAGGCGATGCTGAATAATCCTTGCCAGGACCTTTCCCGGCACACTGAGGAGTGAGATGCCCCTGTAGTTGTTACAGTCTGTGCGGTCCCCCTTCTTAAAAAGGGGGACCACCAGGGCATCCTTCCAATCCTGCGGAACCCGTCCAGTGGTCCAGACTGTTGTTATGATGTCATATAGGGCAGTCTGTGCACAAACGCCACCCTCCCTCAGCATTTCGCTTGAGAGATCATCTCTGCCCGCTGCCTTTCCTGGTCTCAGACTCCGGATCGCCTTCAGTACTTCCTCAACAGATGGCACCTCAGCCAGCCACTCACAGGGGGTGACTACTTCCGATATTTGAGGCATCGCAGCCTCAGCAGCGTCATCCTCACTTTGTGCCACGATGTTTTCCTGGCTGAGGGATTTTCCCTCCCCCAGGACCTCACAGAAATGCTCAGCAAATCTGCAAACCTGTTCCTGGGGGTCGAAGATTGGATCACCGTTTTTTCCCCTAATGATGGTAATAGGTGTGGCGCTGCAGGTTACTTTTTTGATGGAGTTAAATAGAGATTTGTGATCACGGGCCACTGAGGCAGACTCCATCTCCTCAGCAACCCGCGACCACCACCCATCCTTGCAGCACCTCACGGCTCTCCGAACCTCCGAGCGAAGGCTGCGGTAAGCCTCCTCACACACAGTGACACACACACAGTGACACACACACAGTGACACACAACAACCGCCATTCGCCACTAAGTGGCGGTGACGTCACCACGACGCTTGTGCCAGGCCATGTGCACGTTGAGGCCACGTGAAGTGTCGAACACCCGCTGGCAGGAGGTCACGGGGCAGACCCAGGTGCCACGGGTCGACTGACTGAGATGACTGGCTGATGCACCACCTATGCCCCCCACTGTGCCAACCTGCTGTGGTTTAGCCACCCGGCGCTCCGCTCGTTGTTGTGAGCGTCGCTCCTCTGCCCTCCATTGTTGTTGGAGGGAGACTACCTCCAACTGCCCAGTAGCATCTATCACGAGCCTCCTCCACAGAGGCCGATCTTGACACCGCTGGTACCAGTCATCGGCAAGTCCACTCCGCTCCACGTCCTCCTGTACCACATCACTCCACCTCTTCTGTAGCCTGTGACGCGCCCGTTTAGCCCCCTCGATCCGGGCAAACAAAAGCTGTTTAGGCATGCGGTGGCTGGGCATGCGGGCTCCATGACCCAGCCAACGCAGCCTTGCCTGCGGGAGGAGCTCACCGATGGGGCTTTGTCCAGATCTTTCAAGGATTTGTGAGCTCCTCACACAATCCAGTCTGGTAAAACCCAGGATTATCGTAGGCAGGCCAGCCTAAATGTTTCTAACTGGCGAAGTTGTTCCATTAGGGGGGTCCACGTTTCGCAAGCATAGAGATGGGAGAGAATGACCGTGGCCGAGAAGACCTGAAGCTTTGTGCGGAGCAACAGATCAGGTAGCTTCCACAGAGAGTTACGCAACTTATGAATATATAATGCCGCTCGAATGATTCGGAGTGAGGTCATGACCACACTGCCCAGGTATGGGAAACTCTCCACTCTCTCCAGAACTGCCCCATCATCAATTGGGAGTTGTGGGGGTGGAGTGTCCGATGGTACAAAATACCCAGGCAGGTGCTTAGTTTTGGTGGGGCTGATGGTAAGGCCCCACCTCTTATTGGCAAGCGCCAGTCTCAGCAGCAGCGCCTCCAACTCCTCCTCAGAGTGAGCTGCAATTACCAGGTCGTCGGCATACATAACGTGTTTGACCAATAGGGAGCCATCCCTTGACCGCACCCGGGCATCGATCAGCCTCCCATTGTATCTGTACCAGATGGAAATTCCTCCGGTACCGCTATTGAAGGCTTCACGACTCCCGGCCACGTAGTTTAACCCGGGCCCGCTCACCATCATGAAGGTCCTTAATGATCATGAGCAGATGGTCAGGGACTCCGAAAGCACGAAGAATGACACACGCACAGTGACACACATACAGTGATACACACACACACAGTGACACACACACAGTGACACACACAGTGATACACACACAGTGACACACACAGTGACACACACACAGTGACACACACAGTGACAAGAAGACAAAGATCCCCCATATAGCCTTAACAGACTGTTGGGACAAGTGCTGTTAGCGAGCACCTATGAAGGCCGGAACGGTACACGAGGGGGTGGGTGGCCAGCGCCACTCCCGGCCACCTTTGTCTCCCCAGTCGCGATGTTTACGCACCGCACCAGGTACTCATTTGAGGCTGAGCCGACTTAGGGGAGGCCCAGGACCGGTTCAGATAATCATCACTGATGTTGGCCGTGAGCGGGAATCAAATTCGGGCCGCCAGGTTCATAGCGCAGCTTGCAAACTGCTACACCACCGCTACACTCCTGACACACACACACAGTGACATGCACAGTGACACAGAGACACACAAAGACAATTACCAAGATCCCCCGTGTAGCCTTAACAGACTGTTGGGGCAAGTGCTGTTAGCGAGCACCTATGAAGGCCGGAACGGTACACGAGGGGGTGGGTGGCCAGCGCCACTCCCGGCCGCCTTTGTCTCCCTAGTGGCGATGTTCACACACCGCATCGGGTACTCATTTGAGGCTGAGTCGACCTAGGGGAGGCCCGGGACCGGTTCAGATAATCATCACTGATGTTGGCCGTGAGCGGGAATCGAACCCCGGTTCGCCAGGTTCATAGCGCAGCGTAGCGCTAACCGCTACACTACCGCTCCCCTGACACACACAGACACACACACACAGTGACATGCACAGTGACACAGAGACACACAAAGACAATGACCAAGATCCCCCGTGTAGCCTTAACAGACTGTTGGGGCAAGCGCTGAGTGCTCCAATGATCCCGAGAGCAAAAGCCGTCGGGTGGCAAGGTGGAGGTCCCCAGACTAAGTACGATCAAAGAATTCCCAGTGTACGCCACCCCCCCTGCCACATCCTGGCCAGGTGGGGCTCTATACTCTTTGCGCGGCAAAACCTCGCCGAGCAGAGAGGGCCACTCGGATTTGAAAGCTCAACAGCTCCTGTGGTTGCCATAGCCGCCGCTAGCTCGCCGAGCCACTTGCCGAGTAACCCTGAGCATAGAGAGTGGGATCCGGAGTGGGCGAGCTGCCCTACACACTCTAAACAAACTACAGCAGCAGCAGCATCAGCAGCAGCATCAGCAGCAGCATCAGCAGCAGCAGCAGCACGGGCGGGAGGAAGAGGAAAGTCCTGACGGCGACGGGAGCGGCGCGGGGCGGGCGGAAGGCGGAAACGGTCGGTGCAAGAATGGCGCTGGCAGACACAGCTTTGGACCTGCATGCAGGCGGCTTTTCCGTATTGGTCGATTGACCGTCGACCAAAAGGCAACGACATCCGGCAAGCACCCCAACCGACCACATCAGCCGTTTCTAGGTGCGGCCACTGTTCGCTCCCGATGTAAAGAAGGGGGCACAGACAAGATGGCCCTAATACAAAAGCTGCTCGGGGCTCCCGTGGCAAGGGGGAGCTCGCGCACGACTTGACATCGCAGCACTCACGGGAAGTTCGCTTCGCAGACCTTGGATCCCTCTGAATGACCATGGCGCGGGCTACGTCCCCTTGGTTCTGGCCAGGGAAAGCCAGTGAGGGGAGGACGCCTGTCGGGCGTCGGCCTCACGGTGAAGAACACGGCGGCTGACAAACTCCTGAGCCCTCCAATCGGCCATCCAGACTGCCCGATGCCTCTACGACTACACATTCGGGGGTAACCAATTGGGCCACCATAATCAGTGTTTATGCACCAAGCCCACAGGCAGGCCAGAGGCTGACCAAGACATCAAGGAAGCATTACTTTATCACGATCCTCAGAACTCTTCTCCGGGGGGAGGGGGAGTGGGGTGTGACCGTAAAACCAAGCTTATTGTGATGGGCGACGTTAACGCACGAGTCGGTCAGAACCGTGACCTCTGGAGGGGGGCCCTCGTAGCGCGTGGAATTAGCAAGTGTAACGACAATGGTCGTACGCTACTGGAGCTCTGCGCAGAGCACAACCTCTGCACGGCAAACGGCAGATATAGCACCGCGTGAAGACACCAGCGCGCTCCGAGCACTGGCATCTACTGGATCGCATCCTTGTACCCCAACGGGGGGAGACACCACACGCACACACCTGAGTTGTGCCCAGTGCCGGCTGCTTACGACAGACGCACAGATTGGTCGGGGGCAAAAAGTCGCCCTCAGGATCGAACCACCACCCGAGAAGGCTCGCTTTCCACCATTCGCTCGGCCCTCAGGGTTGCCTCCACCCTGACCGGTTCATTCCCCTGCATTCCCCAGTCATCTTCCTCCTACGCACCCTAATTCCTGAGCCGGCTCCGGCATCTCGCTTTCCATTGTCCACCGAACCACATCTCTGAATCCCCGACCTCCATCAGCTCAGCTATCCGGCCACCAGACACTCTGCCCCCACCGCCCTTCAACTACCCTCGTGCAGGCCCATTTTTACCACTTCACGCACGTGCCCCATACCCCACTGCCTCTCATCCACGTTGCAACCATCGGACACCCTCGCTCACCATCACACTCCACCTTATTCTGCCTTACCTACCCCAGCAAGATCCGCTCCATTCCCAGCCCCCTGTCCCTCCATACATTCCTTCACCTCCCTCACCGGCCGCCTTCGGCTTTGAATTTTAAAGTGCCCTGGAAATGGCACTATAGAAATCCGAAAAATAATCAAATAGAATCGGTCTTCACCCCAAGAAGCGCCAAGTAGAAAAGCTCCCCCTGTTAAGGGACAAATTTCAGAAGAAGCTCAAGACCGGGCTGAGTGATCATCAAGACACCGGGCACGGATGCAGAGCCTGAACAGTGGTGGAAAGATCTCAAAACGGCTCCCCACGACACAGTTTCTGAGGTGGTTGGCTTCCCGAACAAGGAAGCACAAAGATTTTTTTCTATGAGAACAGTCCGGAAATCGAATTGCCTTTCCCAGACGGGAACGGTCCACCGTCATTCCAGATTACTCGCCCGTCCCAATGACCAAGCCGGCAAAAATCTACGTACAGCGCTGCGTGCAAAAACCTTGCCAACGAAGCTGAGAGTCACTCAAAAAACGAACCGGTTGACAGACCGCGCCGAAAGACGCAGCTCTATGCAAACACGGGCCACAAGAGCATTCTATAGAAGCCCTATGCTCAGCGTGTGGATCCTCACACCAGACACAGGCCCCTCGGACAAGGCCCCCACTCAGGCCCCGACTGGTCAGGAGTTCAAATTGCACCGCCAAGTCAAGGATCGGCCTGCACAGCCACCAGCGCTGCCTGCCGCCAACTATGTGGACCTCGCATCCCTCCCTGATCTTCGCTAGTGTTGAACCAGACGATGACCATGAGTGGGTGAAAGAATGAGGGGATTGGTGAGTGAGTGAGTGGGTGGGTGGGTGAGTGGGTGGGTGAATGAGTGTGTGGGTGAAAGAATGAGTGGCAGTGTGTGAATGGGTGCGTGGGTGTGTGAATGGGTCCGTGGGTGAGTGAGTGTGTGGGTGAGTGGGTGAGTGGGTAGGTTAGTGAGTGAGTGGGTGGGTGAGTAGGTGAGAGTGTGGGTGGGTGAGTGAGTGGACAAGTGAGCGAGTGGTGAGCAAACAGGTGAGCGAGTGGGTGGTGAGAGCATGGTGGTGAGCGAGGGGCTCAGCTCACCTGACGTTCTCCAGGAGTTTCCGTGCCTCCGCTCTCCGCTCACCACTTCCGTGCTCAATGAGTGAGTGAGTGAGTGGGTGAGTGACCTGGGGGTGAGTGAGGTGGTGAGCGAGGGGCCCAGCTCACCTGGCGTTTTCCAGGAGTCTGCGAGCCTCCGATCTCCGCTCATCACCGCCGTGTTCCATGAGGAGGAATCCCAACTCAAACATTGCGTTAGGTGCCAAATATTGATCATGACGCAGGCGCTTCTCCCTGGCACACGGGGTACAGGTGGGCAGCAGTGTTAGTCTATGGGTAGCAGTGGTAGTCTATGGGTAGTGTTGAGTCTATGGTGCAGTGTTGAGTCTATGGGCAGTGTTGAGTCTATGGTGCAGTGTTGAGTCTATGGGCAGTGTTGAGTCTATGGTGCAGTGTTGAGTCTGTGGGTAGCAGTGGTAGTCTATGGGCAGTGCTGAGTCTATGGGTGGTGTTGAGTTCATGGGCAGTGTTGGTCTATGGTGCAGTGTTGAGTCTACGGTGCAGTGTTGAGTCTATGGGCAGTGTTGAGTCTATGGTGCAGTGTTGAGTCTATGGGGCAGTGTTGAGTCTATGGGCAGTGTTGAGTCTATGGGCAGTGTTGCGTCTATGGGCAGTGTTGAGTCTATGGGTAGCAGTGGTAGTCTATGGGCAGTGTTGAGTCTATGGGCAGTGTTGCGTCTATGGGCAGTGTTGAGTCTATGGGCAGTGTTGAGTCTATGGGTGGTGTTGAGTTCATGGGCAGTGTTGAGTCTATGGGCAGTGTTGAGTCTATGGTGCAGTGTTGAGTCTATGGGCAGTGTTGAGTCTATGGGCAGTGTTAGTCTATGGGTAGTGTTGAGTCTATGGGCAGTGTTAGTCTATGGGCAGTGTTGAGTCTATGGGGGGCAGTGTTGAGTCTATGGGCAGTGTTGAGTCTATGGGCAGTGTTGAGTCTATGGTGCAGTGTTGAGTCTATGGGCAGTGTTGAGTCTATGGGCAGTGTTGAGTCTATGGGCAGTGTTGAGTCTATGGGCAGTGTTGAGTCTATGGGCAGTGTTGAGTCTATGGGCAGTGTTAGTCTATGGGCAGTGCTGAGTCTATGGTGCAGTGTTGAGTCTATGGGCAGTGTTGAGTCTATGGGTGGTGTTGAGTTCATGGGCAGTGTTGAGTCTATGGGCAGTGTTGAGTCTATGGGCAGTGTTGAGTCTATGGGCAGTGTTGAGTCTATGGGCAGTGTTGAGTCTATGGGCAGTGTTAGTCTATGGGCAGTGTTGAGTCTATGGACAGTGTTGAGTCTATGGGCATTGTTGAGTCTATGGGCAGTGTTAGTCTATGCGGAGCAGTGTTGAGTCTATGGGCAGTGTTGAGTCTATGGGCAGTGTTGAGTCTATGGGCAGTGTTGAGTCTATGGGCAGTGTTGAGTCTATGGGCAGTGTTGAGTCTATGGGTAGTGTTGAGTCTATGGGCAGTGTTGAGTCTATGGACAGTGTTGAGTCTATGGGCAGTGTTGAGTCTATGGGCAGTGTTAGTCTATGCGGAGCAGTGTTGGTCTATGTGCAGTGTTGAGTCTATGGGCAGTGTTGAGTCTATGGGCAGTGTTGGTCTATGGTGCAGTGTTGAGTCTACGGTGCAGTGTTGAGTCTACGGTGCAGTGCTGAGTCTATGGGCAGTGTTGAGTCTATGGGGGGCAGTGTTGAGTCTATGGGCAGTGTTGAGTCTATGGGCAGTGTTGAGTCTATGGGCAGTGCTGAGTCTATGGGCAGTGTTGAGTCTATGGGCAGTGTTGAGTCTATGGGCAGTGTTGAGTCTATGGGTGGTGTTGAGTTCATGGGCAGTGTTGAGTCTATGGGCAGTGTTGAGTCTATGGGCAGTGTTGAGTCTATGGGCAGTGTTGAGTCTATGGGCAGTGTTGAGTCTATGGGCAGTGTTAGTCTATGGGCAGTGTTGAGTCTATGGACAGTGTTGAGTCTATGGGCATTGTTGAGTCTATGGGCAGTGTTAGTCTATGCGGAGCAGTGTTGAGTCTATGGGCAGTGTTGAGTCTATGGGCAGTGTTGAGTCTATGGGCAGTGTTGAGTCTATGGGCAGTGTTGAGTCTATGGGCAGTGTTGAGTCTATGGGTAGTGTTGAGTCTATGGGCAGTGTTGAGTCTATGGACAGTGTTGAGTCTATGGGCAGTGTTGAGTCTATGGGCAGTGTTAGTCTATGCGGAGCAGTGTTGGTCTATGTGCAGTGTTGAGTCTATGGGCAGTGTTGAGTCTATGGGCAGTGTTGGTCTATGGTGCAGTGTTGAGTCTACGGTGCAGTGTTGAGTCTACGGTGCAGTGCTGAGTCTATGGGCAGTGTTGAGTCTATGGGGGGCAGTGTTGAGTCTATGGGCAGTGTTGAGTCTATGGGCAGTGTTGAGTCTATGGGCAGTGCTGAGTCTATGGGCAGTGTTGAGTCTATGGGCAGTGTTGAGTCTATGGGCAGTGTTGAGTCTATGGGCAGTGCTGAGTCTATGGGCAGTGTTGAGTCTATGAACAGTGTTGAGTCTATGGGGGGCAGTGTTAGTCTATGGGCAGTGTTGAGTCTATGGGCAGTGTTGAGTCTATGGGCAGTGTTGGTCTATGGTGCAGTGTTAGTCTATGCGGAGCAGTGTTGAGTCTATGGGCAGTGTTGAGTCTATGGGCAGTGTTGAGTCTATGGGTAGTGTTGAGTCTATGGACAGTGTTGAGTCTGTGGACAGTGTTGAGTCTATGGGCAGTGTTGAGTCTATGGGTAGTGTTGAGTCTATGGGTAGTGTTGAATCTATGGGCAGTGTTAGTCTATGGGTAGTGTTGAGTCTATGGGTAGTGTTGAGTCTATGGGAAGCAGTGTTGAGTCTATGGGCAGTGTTAGTCTATGGGTAGTGTTAGTCAATGGGTAGTGTTGAGTCTATGGGAAGCAGTGTTGAGTCTCTAGATAGTGTTGAGTCTATGGGTAGTGTTGAGTCTATGGGCAGTGTTGAGTCTATGGGCAGTGTTAGTCTATGGGTAGTGTTAGTCAATGGGTAGTGTTGAGTCTATGGGAAGCAGTGTTGAGTCTCTAGATAGTGTTGAGTCTATGGGTAGTGTTGAGTCTATGGGCAGTGTTGAGTCTATGGGAAGCAGTGTTGAGTCTCTAGGTAGTGTTGAGTCTATGGGGAGTGTTGAGTCTATGGGAAGCAGTGTTGAGTCTATGGGTAGTGTTGAGTCTATGGGCAGTGTTAGTCTATGGGCAGTGTTGAGTCTATGGAGGGCAGTGTTAGTCTATGCGGAGCAGTGGTAGTCTATGGGTAGTGTTGAGTCTATGGGCAGTGTTAGTCTATGGGTAGTGTTGAGTCTATGGGGGGCAGTGTTAGTCTATGGGAATCAGTATTGGTCTATGGGCAGTGTTGAGTCTATGGGCAGTGTTGAGTCTATGGGCAGTGTTGAGTCTATGGTGCGTGTTGAGTCTATGGCAGTGTTGAGTCTATGGGGAGTGTTGAGTCTATGGTGCAGTGTTGAGTCCATGGGCAGTGTTGAGTCTATGGGAAGCAGTGTTGGTCTATGGGCAGTGTTGGTCTATGGGCAGTGTTGAGTCTATGGGGGGCAGTGTTGAGTCTATGCGGAGCAGTGGTAGTCTATGGGCAGTGTTGAGTCTATGGGTAGTGTTGAGTCTATGGGCAGTGTTGAGTCTATGGGCAGTGTTGAGTCTATGGGCAGTGCTGAGTCTATGGGCAGTGCTGAGTATATGGGCGGTGCTGAGTCTATGGGCAGTGTTGAGACTATGGTGGTGTTTGTGGTGGTGGTTGTAGTGGTAATAGCGGTAGTTATGGTAGTTTTGGTTGTGGTAGTTATGGTAGTTAAGGTAATTGCAGTCGTGATTGCTTACTGAGCGTGGATTTGGATGAACGCCTCCTCGGCCTCGGAAAGTCGTCCGAGATGTTTCAGGCACACCCCCTTGAGCAGGAGTAGCAAACAGGTGTCGTCCACTGCATATTCACCGCCTCCTGCACAACCACAATCAGAACTACAACCACCACAACCACCACTACTAATAACCACCACAACCAACACTACTAATACAACTACCACTACAACCACCACTACTAATAACCACCACAACCACCACAACTAAAACTACTACCACTACAACCACCACTACTAATAACCACCACAACCTCCACTACTAATACAACTACTACCACCACTACTAATACAACTACAACCACCACAACCACCACTACTAATACAGTTTCAGTTTCAGTTAGTTTCAGCTTATTTATTTTGACATAGCCCTGTGAGCCATTCGGCTCTTGAATCGGGTGCATCCACAACAAACAAAAAAAACAAAAACACGAACAAGAAAAACATCTTAAAGTGACTATGTGTGTGACTGTGCAAACAGAAAATCCATGAAAAAACACGGCAAAATATTTCTGAAAAAGCACCGTACACCAACGCTGTGTGCAAAAAAATCCCAGTGGGATTCAAGTCAAACAACAACAACAACAACCACAAGAAAACTTAGATTAAGGCCATCAGTCTACAACTACAACCACCACAACCACCACTACTAATACAACTACTACCTACCATCACAATCACCACCACTACTAATACAACTACTACCTAACCATCACAACCACCACTACCAATACAACTGTAGGGGTGATTGTCACTCACCATTGAGCAGGCCTGTAGTTCTACTTATTGGCCATAGGGGGCAGAGGCATTACTTCGCCCGGGCAAATGTCCATGGGCCAGACAGGGGCCAACGGCGGATCACACTAAACGGATCCTGGGACACATTCCCCAGGCCCCCGGGTGGGGCGGACCGGGGGAATGATGTCACCTTCCAGGATGGCCCAGAGTGTTCCAGAAGGAGGGCGTGGCTAGGGCGGAGCAAGCCACGAACGAGTATATAAGCCAGAGCACTCAGAGCTCTGGCTCCGTTAGCTACACGCTGAAGACTGAAGACCGGGCTGTAGAATAGGACCCTGGACCCCAAGCCCCGCAGTCCTTCTAAGGGCCGGAGCTCAGTGAGGCCAGTGGTCAGGACTCCACGGACCTGGAGGTCGGGTTACCGGTGTTAGGTCCCGTATAGTTCGGAGGCCATACCTCCCTAGGTATCGGGTGAAGGGACCGATATACCCTTCGTGATAGGGACCTTGTAGTAAAGACAATGTACAACGTCTTGCCTCATAAGAAGTTTATTCGTCAGTATTTACAACACTACTACTACTACTACAACCACCACTACTAATACAACTACAAACACCACAACCACCACTACGAATAATAACTACAACCACCACTACTAATACAACTACAACCACCACCACTACTAATACAACTACAACCACCACAACCACCACTACTAATACAACTACTACCACCACAACCACCACTACTAATAACCACCACAACCGCCACTACTAATACAACTACAACCACCACAACCACCACTACTAATACAATTACAAACACCACAACCACCACTACGAAAAATAACTACAACCACCACTACTAATACCAACTGCTACCACCACAACCACCACTACAAATAACAACTACTACCACCACTACCACAACCACCACAACAACAACCAAAACTACCACCATCACTACAACCACTACCACAACAATTACAACCACTAAAACCACCACAACCACTACTACCCCTACTACCACAACCACTGCTACCACAACAACCACAATCATAACTACAACAACCACCACAACCACCATAACTGCCATAAGGAACACACCATTATAACTAACATCTAATGCAACCATGACAACCACTACTCCCACAACCACTACAACTACAACCACCATTACAATCATAACCACAATCACTACCACCACCACAACCACGATCACCACTACAACCACAACCACCATCTACATCACGACCACAAACACCACTACAACCACAACCAGATGAGGCTGAGAGGGTGAATGAGTGAGTGGGTGTCTGGATGTGCGAGTCAGTGAGTGGGTGAGTGGTGAGTGGTGGGTAATTGAGAGGGTGAGTGATTGGTGAGTGGGTGAGTGAGTGGGTGGGTGAGTTGATGGGTGTCTAGGTGTGCGAGTGAGTGGCTGGGTGAGTGGTGGGTAATTGAGAGGGTGAGTGATTGGTGAGTGGGTGAGTGAGTGGGTGGGTGAGTTGATCAGTGTCTGAGTGTGTGAGTGAGTGGGTGGTGATAAAAATGTGATTTGATCTTTTAACCCCAAGAACTGGTTTTCAGGTTTGTTGAGGATTTCTGTGAGGTCGTGGGGGAGGGGAAATCCCTTAGACCAGAAAACATCATGGGGCAAAGTGGTGGTGACCCTGCTGGGGCTGACCGTGCCTCAAATATTGGAAGAAGCAGTCACCCCCTGTGAGTGGCTGGCTGACGTGCCATTTGTTGAGGAAGTACTGAAGGTGATCTAGAGTCTGAGACCAGGAAAAGCACCAGGCACAGATGATCTCCCAAGCTAAATGCTTAGGGAGGGTGGCGTTTGTGCATAGACTGCCCTACATGACATCATAACAACAGTCTGGACCACTGGACGGGTTCTGCAGGACTGGAAGGATGCCCTGGTGGTCCCCCTCTTTAAGAAGGGGGACCGCAGAAACTGTAACAACTACAGGGGCATCTCTCTCATTGCGTGGCGCCAGGTCCTGGCATGGATTATTCAACATCGCCTTGCCAGACACACCGAGGAGAGGCTTGTGGAGCAGCACTGTGGTTTAAAACTACAGCAGTCAGGCACAGATGCCATATTCTCTGTCAGTCTGCTACAGCAGAGGTGTAGTGAATTCAAACAGGACTAACATATCTGCTTTATTGACCTGGTCCAGGCCTATTAAACCATCAAAGGCCTGGGCTCTGGTTTGTTCTTCGAGCTTTTGGAGTCCCTGACTCTCTGCTCACAATCATTAAGGACCTTCATGATGGTGGGGAGGAGTCAGAACCATTCCCTGTTCACCTGGGGGTGCGACAGGGATGTCCCCTGGCTCCCACATTATTTTACATCTTTTTCTACCACGTAGTTCGAGAAGCTTTCCATGCCTGTACCGGAGGAATCTCCATCTGGTACAGATACAATGGGAGTCTGATTGATGCTTGGGTGCAGTCAAGGGATGGCTCCCTATTGGTCAACCATGTTATGTATGCTGATGGTCTGGTAATTGCTGCTCACTTAGAGAAGGAGTTGGAGGCGTTGCTGCAGAACCTGGAGTTTGTCACCAAGAGGTGGGGCCTTACCATCAGCCCCTCCAAAAATAAGCACCTGCCTGGGTATTTTGTGCCATCAAACACTCCACCCCCACAAATTGCAATTGGTGATGGAGCAGTTGTGGAGAGAGTGGAGAGTTTTCCATACCTGGGCAGTGTGCTTATGATCAGCTCCGGTTTGACAGCAGACAACTCACTCCGAATCAGTCGAGCGGCAATATCTTTACATCGAATGCGTAACAATGTGTGGAAGCTACCTGGTCTGTCGCTCTGCACGAAGCTTCAGGTCTTCTCTGCCATGGTTATGCCCTCCCTTCTCTATGCTTGCGAAACGTGGGCCCCCCTAAAGGAACATCTTCGCCGGTTAGAAACATTCAGGCTGGCCTGCCTACGATCCACCCTGGGTTTAATCAGGCTGGATTGTGTGAGGAGCTCACAAATCCTTAAAAGATCTGGACTCAATCCCATCGCTGAGTTCTGCAGGCAGGCAAGGCTGTCTTGGCTGGGTCATGTAGCCCCATGCCCAGTCACCGCATGCCCAAACAGCTTTTGCTCAGCCAGACAAACGGGCTAAATGGACACTACATGGGCTAAAGTGATGGAGTGATGCGGTACATTAGGATGTGGAGCTGAATGGACTTGATGATGACTGGTACCAGCGATGTCAAGATCGGCGTCTATGGAGGATGCTCGTGAAGGACGCTACTGGGCAGTTGGAGGCATTCAACCTCCAGCCACAACAGAGGGCAGGGGAGCGATGCTCACAACAACGAGCGGAGCGCTGGGCGGATAAAACACAGCAAGTTGGCATAGCAGGGGGCACAGGTGGTGCATCAGCCAGTCATTTCAGTCATCTCAGTCAGTCGACCTGTGGCACCTGGGTCTGCCCCGTGACCTCCTGCCAGCGGGCATTCGACACAACACGTGGACTCAACGTGCACCTAGCCTGGCACAAGCGCTGTGGTAATGTCTCTGCCACTCATTGGTGAATGGCGGTTTCTGTTGAGTAGGTGAGTGAGTGGGTGAGTAGGTGGGTGAGTGAGTGAGTGAGTGGGTGGGTGAGTGAATGATTGGCTGGGTGTGTGAGTGGGTGGGTGAGTGAGTGAGTGGGTGGGTGAGTGGGTGGGTGGGTAGGTGAATGGTGAGTGAGTGAGTTGGTAGGTGAGCGAGTGGATGAGTGAGTGAGTGGGTGAGTGAGTGAGTGAGTGAATGAGTAAGTGAGTGGAAGGGTGGGTCAGTGAGTGGGTGGGTCAGTGAGTGAGTGGATGGGTGGGTCAGTGAGTGGGTGGGTGAGTGAGTGAGTGAGTGGGTGGGTGGGTGAGTGGGTGGGTGGGTGGGTAGGTGAATGGTGAGTGAGTGAGTTGGTAGGTGAGCGAGTGGATGAGTGAGTGAGTGGGTGAGTGAGTGAGTGAGTGAATGAGTAAGTGAGTGGAAGGGTGGGTCAGTGAGTGGGTGGGTGAGTGAGTGAGTGGATGGGTGGGTCAGTGAGTGGGTGGGTGAGTGAGTGGGTGGGTGGGTGAGTGGGTGGGTGGGTGGGTAGGTGAATGGTGAGTGAGTGAGTTGGTAGGTGAGCGAGTGGATGAGTGAGTGAGTGAATGAGTAAGTGAGTGGAAGGGTGGGTCAGTGAGTGGGTGGGTCAGTGAGTGAGTGGATGGGTGAGTGGGTGAGTGAGTGATTGAGTGGGTGAGTGAGTGAGTGAGTGATTGAGTGAGTGAGTGATTGCGTGGGTGAGTGGGTGGGTGAGTGAGTGGGTGGGTGAGTGATTGAGTGGGTGAGTGGGTGAGTGATTGAGTGGGTGAGTGGGTGGGTGAGTGGGTGGGTGAGTGGGTGAGTGGGTGGGTGAGTGGGTGAGTGGGTGAGTGATTGAGTGGGTGAGTGGATGGGTGAGTGGGTGAGTGGGTGAGTGGGTGGGTGAGTGATTGAGTGGGTGAGTGATTGAGTGGGTGAGTGGGTGAGTGAGTGATTGAGTGGGTGAGTGATTGAGTGGGTGGGTGAGTGAGTGATTGAGTGGGTGAGTGGGTGGGTGAGTGAGTGATTGAGTGGGTGAGTGGGTGGGTGAGTGATTGAGTGGGTGAGTGGGTGAGTGAGTGATTGAGTGAGTGATTGAGTGAGTGGGTGAGTGATTGCGTGGGTGAGTGAGCGATTGCGTGGGTGAGTGGGTGAGTGGGTGGGTGGGTGAGTGGATGGGTGAGTGGGTGAGTGGGTGAGTGGGTGAGTGATTGAGTGGGTGAGTGATTGAGTGGGTGAGTGATTGAGTGGGTGAGTGATTGCGTGGGTGAGTGGGTGGGTGAGTGGGTGGGTGAGTGGGTGATTGAGTGAGTGAGTGGGTGGGTGAGTGGGTGGGTGGGTGAGTGGTGAACTGACCGGTGAGCGACTCCTCTGTATCTGTGATGAGGGTGAGCATGCTGGTGGTGAGCGCTGGCTCCCGACCCACAATGGTGAAGCCATTCCACATGTACATCATCTCCTGCGGGCACAGTGGTGGTGAGGGCATGCCTCACCAGGTGAGCTCGAGCCCCGGGGTGAGCCCCAGGGTGAGGGTGAGAGGGTGAGTGGGTGAGTTGGTGAGTGGGTGAGGGTGAGTGAGGGTGAGTGAGGGTGAGAGGGTGAGTGAGTGAGGGTGAGTGAGTAAGGGTGAGTGGGTGAGGGTGAGAAGGTGAGTTGGTGAGTAGGTGAGTTGGTGAGTGGGTGAGGGTGAGTGGGTGAGGATGAGGGTGTTTAGGTGAGTGGGTTAGTTGGTGATTGGGTGAGGGTGAGTGAGGGTGAGTGAGTGAGGGTGAGAAGGTGAGTTGGTGAGTGGGTGAGGGTGAGTGGGTGAGGGTGAGTAGGTGAGTGGGTGAGTGGGTGAGTGGGTGAGGGTGAGTGGGTGAGAGGGTGAGGGTGAGAGGGTGAGTGGGTGAGTTGGTGATTGGGTGAGGGTGAGTGAGTGAGGGTGAGTGGGTGAGGGTGTTTAGGTGAGTGGGTGAGTTGGTGATTGGGTGAGGGTGATTGGGTGAGGGTGAGTGTGTGAGGGTGAGTGGGTGAGGGTGAGAGGGTGAGTGGGTGAGTTGGTGATTGGGTGAGGGTGAGTGAGGGTGAGTGTGTGAGGGTGAGTGGGTGAGGGTGTTTAGGTGAGTGGGTGAGTTGGTGATTGGGTGAGGGTGAGTGAGGGTGAGTGGGTGAGGGTGAGTGGGTGAGGGTGTTTAGGTGAGTGGGTGAGTTGGTGATTGGGTGAGGGTGAGTGAGGGTAAGTGGGTGAGGGTGAGTAGGTGAGTGGGTGAGTAGGTTAGTGGATGAGTGGGTGAGTGTGAGTGAGTGGTGAGTGAGTGGCGAGCGAGCGAGTAGGTGAGTGGTTGAGTGAGAAATTGGTGAGTGAGAAATTGTTGAGTGAGAAACTGGTGAGTGAGGATGATTGGGTGAGAGTGAGTAGGTGTGTGGGTGAAGGTGAGTAGGTGGGTGGGAGTGGGTGAGGCTGTGAGTGGGTGAGTGATGAGTGACTTGTGAGTGATGAGTGAGTGGTGAGTGATGAGTGAGTGGTGAGTGCATGGTCGGTGAGTTGTAAGTGTGTGGTGAGTGAGTGGTGAGTGAGTGGTGAGTGATTGGGCGAGTGGTGAGTGAGTGGTAAGTGAGTGGTAAGTGTGTGGTGAGTGTGTGGTGAGTGAGTGGTGAGTGAGTGGTGAGTGATTGGGCGAGTGGTGAGTGAGTGGTGAGTGAGTCATGAGCGAGTGGGTGGGTGAGTGATGAGTGAGTGAGTGGGTGAGTGAGCGAGTGGTGAGTGAGTACTCCTCACCAGAGCGGGTAACACCAGCCTGTGTGTACTCCGTGTCCTGTGGTAGCGTCATGTGACTGGTGAGTGAGTGGTGAGTCAGTGACAGGTGAGTGAGTGAGTGTGTAAGTGAGTGTATGAGTCCAGCAAAAACATCCCCCTCCCTCCTCATTGGTGCCAGACGTCAAAGCTGTGGTGAGCAGTACCGTGGGGGGGAGGGCCAATTTAGATTGGCCATTCCCGTCATGGCATTTGTAATCACCACAGCGGCCAAATGGGGGCTCTGGACGGGTGTGAGGGCCTGGTAACCCCTCCACCTTCAATTAATTACCACAAAACCACGTGCAAAATATCTAATGCAGCTTGTCCCGGAGGCCCCGGGGGGCCAGGCGTCTATAACATCTCCTGGCCAAACCCCAATTGGCGGAGCCAGGAGGTTGAATCTTTACCCTCGGGGCTCCTCCAGAAACAATAAAAAGCCACTTCGTGTGGCCACGTGGAATGTTCGAACGCTCACTGCGGAGGAGAGGCTGCCACTCCTCTGTCGGGAGCTGGACCGGTACCGCCTGGATCTCTGTGATATTTAGGAAGTCCTGTGGACCGGTTCTGGCTCCTGCCACCATGAGGGGTGTACAATCCTCTACTCGGGGCAGCAGACTGCCAAACAACAGGGTGTGGCTCTTCTTCCGAACAAAAGAATGAAGGGGGCATGGGAGCGTGTTGGTGAGGTGTGGGAAGCTGTAAGCCCCAGGCTACTTAGGGCTCGCCTTCCCATCAACCAGAGGCGAGGAGTGGTGGTTGTGGTTACTTATGCCCCCACCGAAGATGAACATCCGTGGAGGGATGCAGGCAAGGCCGATGAGCCAGATGCCTTTTATCACCTCCTGTCACAGGTGTTAGCTAAAGTCGTTCCTCGGGATAGAGTCATCATGTTGGGTGACTTCAGTGCCCGAGTTGGTCATGATACTGGCACCTGGTCTGGAGTGATTGGAGGGCATGGGCCAGATCAGCTCAATAACAACGGTAGGAGGCTGCTAGATTTTTGTGCAACCCATGGGCTTGTAATTAACAACACGCTGTTCCGGCATCGGCGCATCCACACAACGTCATGGATGCATGCCGGGTCCAAGCAAGAACATCTGCCGGACTACATAGTGATGGACCAGCGGATGAGGGCCCATGGCTTTGACACCAGGACCTACTGTGGTGCTGATCTGCCCACTGACCATCGACATGTCATCTGTAAGATGCGCCTGCCATTCTTCCACTCCGGTGGTGGGGGTACACCCAGGACCCCATTCAAACCCATAGTGACCTGGTCTCATCTAGCTAATGAAAGTTGCAAGCGAGAATGTCATCATCGCTTGCGGCTGGGGTTGGCATCGGCTGGTCATCTCAGTCAGTCGACCCGTGGCACCTGGGTCTGCCCCGTGACCTCCTGCCAGCGGGCGTTTGACACTTCACGTGGCCTCAACATGCACATAGCCTGGCACAGGCGTCGTGGTGACGTCACCACCACTTAGTGGTGATTGACAGTTGTTGTTGTGGTGAGTGGGTGAGTGAGTGGGTGAGTGATTGAGTGAGTGGGTGAGCGTGTGAGTGGGTGAGTGGGTGAGTGACTGGTGAGTGAGCGTGTGAGTGGGTGAGCGTGTGAGTGGGTGAGTGAGTGAGCGTGTGAGTGGGTGAGCGTGTGAGTGGGTGAGTGGGTGAGCGTGTGAGTGACTGGTGAGTGAGTGAGTACTCACCAGAGCGGGTAGCACCAGCCCGTGTATACTCCGTGTGCTGTGGTAGTGTCGTGTGACTGGTGAGTGAGTGGTGAGTCAGTGAGTGAACGTGTGAGTGGGTAAGTGATTGAGTGAGTGGGTGAGCGTGTGAGTGAGTGAGCGTGTGAGTGGGTGAGCGTGTGAGTGGGTGAGTGAGTGAGCGTGTGAGTGAGTGAGCGTGTGAGTGAGTGAGCGTGTGAGTGGGTGAGCGTGTGAGTGGGTGAGTGAGTGAGCGTGTGAGTGAGTGAGCGTGTGAGTGAGTGAGCGTGTGAGTGGGTGAGTGGGTGAGCGTGTGAGTGACTGGTGAGTGAGTGAGTGACTGGTGAGTGGGTGAGTACTCACCAGAGCGGGTAGCACCAGCCCGTGTGTACTCCGTGTGCTGTGGTAGTGTCGTGTGACTGGTGAGTGAGTGGTGAGTCAGTGAGTGAACGTGTGAGTGGGTAAGTGATTGAGTGAGTGGGTGAGCGTGTGAGTGAGTGAGCGTGTGAGTGGGTGAGCGTGTGAGTGGGTGAGCGTGTGAGTGGGTGAGTGAGCGTGTGAGTGGGTGAGCGTGTGAGTGGGTGAGCGTGTGAGTGACTGGTGAGTGAGTGAGCGTGTGAGTGGGTGAGCGTGTGAGTGACAGGTGAGTGAGTGAGCGTGTGAGTGGGTGAGCGTGTGAGTGGGTGAGTGAGCGTGTGAGAGGGTGAGCGTGTGAGTGGATGAGTGGGTGAGCGTGTGAGTGGGTGAGCGTGTGAGTGGGTGAGTGAGCGTGTGAGTGGGTGAGTGATTGAGTGAGTGGGTGAGCGTGTGAGTGGGTGAGTGGGTGAGCGTGTGAGTGGGTGAGTGGGTGAGTGACTGGTGAGTGACTGGTGAGTGAGTGAGTACTCACCAGAGCGGGTAGCACCAGCCCGTGTGTACTCCGTGTGCTGCGGTAGCATCGTGTGACTGGTGAGTGAGTGGTGAGTCAGTGAGTGAACGTGTGAGTGGGTGAGCGTGTGAGTGGGTGAGTGAGCGTATGAGTGGGTGAGTGGGTGAGTGAGTGGTGAGTGAGTGAGTGAGCGTGTGAGTGACTGGTGAGTGAGTGAGTACTCCTCACCAGAGCGGGTAGCACCAGCCCGTGTGTACTCTGTGTGCTCTGGTAGCGTCGTGTGACTGGTGAGTGAGTGGTGAGTCAGTGAGTGACTGGTGAGTGAGTGGTGAGTCAGTGAGTGACTGGTGAGTGAGCGAGTGAGTGGACGTGTGAGTGGGTAAGTGATTGAGTGAGTGGGTGAGCGTGTGAGTGGATGAGTGGGTGAGTGGGTGAGTGGGTGAGCGCGTGAGTGGGTGAGTGGGTGAGCGTGTGAGTGGGTGAGTGGGTGAGCGTGTGAGTGGGTGAGTGGGTGAGCGAGTGAGTGGACGTGTGAGTGGGTAAGTGATTGAGTGAGTGGGTGAGCGTGTGAGTGGGTGAGCGTGTGAGTGGGTGAGTGAGCGTGTGAGTGGGTGAGCGTGTGAGTGGGTGAGTGGGTGAGTGAGTGAGTGAGTGAGCGTGTGAGTGAGTGAGCGTGTGAGTGGGTGAGTGGGTGAGCGTGTGAGTGACTGGTGAGTGACTGGTGAGTGAGCGTGTGAGTGAGTGGGTGAGTGATTGAGTGAGTGGGTGAGCGTGTGACTGGGTGAGCGTGTGAGTGGGTGAGTGGGTGAGCGTGTGAGTGACTGGTGAGTGAGTGGTGAGTCAGTGAGTGACTGGTGAGTGAGCGAGTGAGTGATCGTGTGAGTGGGTAAGTGATTGAGTGAGTGGGTGAGCATGTGAGTGACTGGTGAGTGAGCGTGTGAGTGGGTGAGTGGGTGAGTGACTGGTGAGTGAGTGAGCGTGTGAGTGGGTGAGTGACTGGTGAGTGAGTGAGTGACTGGTGAGTGAGTGAGTACTCACCAGAGCGGGTAGCACCAGCCCGTGAGTACTCCGTGTGCTGCGGTAGCGTCGTGTGACTGGTGAGTGAGTGGTGAGTCAGTGAGTGACTGGTGAGTGAGCGAGTGAGTGAACGTGTGAGTGGGTAAGTGATTGAGTGGGTGAGCGTGTGAGTGACTGGTGAGTGAGTGAGCGTGTGAGTGGGTGAGTGGGTGAGTGACTGGTGAGTGAGTGAGCGTGTGAGTGGGTGAGTGACTGGTGAGTGGGTGAGCGTGTGAGTGGGTGAGTGACTGGTGAGTGGGTGAGCGTGTGAGTGGGTGAGTGAGTGAGTGACTGGTGAGTGAGTGAGTACTCCTCACCAGAGCGGGTAGCACCAGCCCGTGAGTACTCCGTGTGCTCTGGTAGCGTCGTGTGAGTGGGTGAGTGGTGAGTCAGTGAGTGGTGAGTGGTGAGTGAGTGGTGAGTGAGTGGGTGAGTGGGTGGGTGAGTGGGTGGGTGAGTGGGTGAGTGGGTGGGTGAGTGAGTGGGTGAGTGGTGAGTGGGTGGGTGAGTGGGTGAGTGAGCGTGTGAGTGGGTGAGCGACTGGTGAGTGACTGGTGAGTGAGTACTACTCACCAGAGCGGGTAGCACCAGTCCGTGAGTACTCCGTGTGCTGTGGTAGCGTCGTGTGAGTGGGTGAGTGAGTGGTGAGTGAGTGAGCGTGTGAGTGAGTGGTGAGTGAGTGAGTACTACTCACCAGAGCGGGTAGCACCAGCCCGTGAGTACTCCGTGTGCTCTGGTAGCGTCGTGTGAGTGGGTGAGTGAGTGGTGAGTGAGTGAGCGTGTGAGTGGGTGAGTGGGTGAGCGACTGGTGAGTGACTGGTGAGTGAGTACTACTCACCAGAGCGGGTAGCACCAGCCCGTGAGTACTCCGTGTGCTGTGGTAGCGTCGTGTGACTGGTGAGTGACTGGTGAGTCAGTGAGTGACTGGTGAGTGAGTGGTGAGTCAGTGAGTGACTGGTGAGCGTGTGAGTGGGTGAGTGAGTGGTGAGTGAGTGAGTACTACTCACCAGAGCGGGTAGCACCAGCCCGTGAGTACTCCGTGTGCTCTGGTAGCGTCGAGCCTTCCGCACTGCAAACTTTTCCGTGGGCAGAGACTTGCCAGCCAGCTTTTGCCTCAACGTGGACACCTGCCTACAACCACCACAACCACCACAACCACCACCACAACCACCACTACAACTACCACAACCACCACTACAACCACCACAACCACCACTACAACCACCACTACAACTACCATAACCACAACACTACTACAAGCACAACCACCACAACCACCACTACAACTACCATAACCACCACAACCACCACTACAACTACTACAACCACCACTACAACTACCATAACCACAACACTACTACAAGCACAACCACCACAACCACCACAACCACCACTACAACGACCATAACCACCAAAACTACAAGCACAACCACCACAACCACCACTACAACCACCACAACCACCACTACAACTACCACAACCACCACTACAACCACCACAACCACCACTACAACCACCACTACAACTACCATAACCACAACACTACTACAAGCACAACCACCACAACCACCACTACAACCACCACAACCACCACTACAACTACCATAACCACCACAACCACCACAACCACCACTACAACCACCACTACAACTACCATAACCACCACAACCACCACAACCACCACTACAACCACCACTACAACTACCATAACCACAACCTCCACTACAACCACCACAACCACCACTACAACTACCATAACCACAACACTACTACAAGCACAACCACCACAACCACCACTACAACTACCATAACCACCACAACCACCACAACCACCACTACAACCACCACTACAACTACCATAACCACCACAACTACAAGCACAACCACCACAACCACCACTACACCTACCATAACCACCAAAACTACAAGCACAACCACCACAACCACCACAACCACCATGACAACCACAACCACCACAACCATCACAACCACCACAACCACCACGACAACCACAACCACCACAACCACCACAACCACCACTACAACCACCACAACCACCACTACAAATACCATAACCACCACAACTACAAGCACAACCACCACAACCACCACAACCACCACTACAACCACCACAACCACCACAACCACCACAACAACCACCACAACTACCACTACAACTACCACTATAACTACCACAACTACAACTACCATAACAACTACAACTACCATAACTACCACTATAACTTCTACAACTGTTACTATAACTGCCATCACCACTACTATAACTACCACAACTACCACAATAACTACCACTATACCACCACACCTACCACCACAACTACCACAACCTCCACTACTACAATCGTTATAAACACAAACACTACAACAACCACCGCAACAACAACCGCAATCACTAACCCCGTGACCCCAATGACCCTCTGACCCACGCGTGACCCCACATAACCCCCGTGACCCCACATGACTCCACGTCACCCCGCGTGACCTCGCGTGACCCTGCGTGACCTCGCGTGACCCCACATAACCCCCGTGACCCCACATGACTCCACGTGACCCTGCGTGACCCTGCGTGACCCCGCGTGACCTCACGTGACCCCGCGTGACCCCGCGTGACCCACCGGTATAAGTCCTCCTCGCTCTCCCTCACCATCCGCTTCTCCGCTGGTGAGGCCATGGTGAGGAACGCAGCCTTCATGTACACGTATGTGGCCTGGGGGTGAGGGGTGGGTGAGGGAGTGGGTGAGGGGGGGTGAGGGGTGGGTGACCGAGTGTGAGGTGAGCGAGTGACTGAGCGGGTGGGTGAGTGAGTGGGTGAGTGGGTGAGTGAGTGAGTGAGTGGGTGAGTGAGTGACTGAGCGAGCGAGTGACTGAACGAACGAGTGAGTGACTGAGCGAGCGACTGAGCGAGTGAGTGAGTGAGTGACTGAGCGAGTGACTGAGCGAGTGAGTGAGTGAGTGACTGAGCGAGTGAGTGAGTGACTGAGCGAGTGGGTGAGTGGGTGAGTGAGTGGGTGAGTGAGTGAGTGAGTGGGTGAGTGAGTGAGTGAGTGGGTGAGTGAGTGAGTGGGTGAGTGGGTGAGTGAGTGGGTGAGTGGGTGAGTGAGTGAGTGGGTGAGTGAGTGAGTGAGTGACTGAGCGAGTGGATGAGTGAGTGGGTGAGTGGGTGAGTGAGTGGATGAGTGAGTGGGTGAGTGGGTGAGCGAGTGACTGAGCGAGTGGGTGAGTGGGTGGGTGAGTGAGCGAGTGACTGAGCGAGTGACTGAGCGGGTGGGTGAGTGAGTGAGTGAGTGGGTGAGTGGGTGAGTGAGTGGGTGAGTGAGTGAGTGGGTGAGTGGGTGAGTGAGTGGGTGAGTGAGTGGGTGAGTGAGTGAGTGACTGAGCGAATGAGTGAGTGACTGAGCGAGTGAGTGACTGAGCGAGTGAGTGAGTGACTGAGCGAGTGGGTGAGTGAGCGAGTGAGTGACTGAGTGAGTGACTGAGTGAGTGACTGAGCGAGTGAGTGAGTGAGTGACTGAGCGAGCGACTGACTGAGTGGGTGAGTGAGTGAGTGAGTGGGTGAGTGAGTGAGTGAGTGGGTGAGCGAGTGGGTGAGTGACTGAGTGAGTGGGTGAGTGAGTGAGTGAGTGACTGAGCGAGTGGGTGAGTGAGTGGGTGAGTGAGTGAGTGAGTGACTGAGCGAGTGGATGAGTGAGTGAGTGAGTGGGTGAGTGAGTGAGTGAGTGACTGAGCGAGTGAGTGAGTGAGTGAGTGGGTGAGTGGGTGAGTGACTGAGCGAGTGGGTGAGTGAGTGAGTGAGTGACTGAGTGAGTGAGTGAGTGACTGAACGAACGAGTGAGTGACTGAGCGAGCAACTGACTGAGTGGGTGAGTGAGTGAGTGAGTGGGTGAGCGAGTGAGTGAGTGAGCGAGTGAGTGACTGACTGAGTGAGTGAGTGACTGAACGAACGAGTGAGTGACTGAGCGAGCGACTGACTGAGTGGGTGAGTGAGTGAGTGAGTGGGTGAGTGAGTGAGTGAGTGGGTGAGTGAGTGAGTGAGTGACTGAGCGAGTGGGTGAGTGAGTGAGTGAGTGGGTGAGTGAGTGAGTGAGTGACTGAGCGAGTGGGTGAGTGAGTGAGTGAGTGGGTGAGTGAGTGAGTGAGTGGGTGAGTGAGTGAGTGAGTGACTGAGCGAGTGAGTGAGTGAGTGAGTGGGTGAGTGGGTGAGTGACTGAGCGAGTGGGTGAGTGAGTGAGTGAGTGAGTGACTGAGTGAGTGAGTGAGTGACTGAACGAACGAGTGAGTGACTGAGCGAGCGACTGACTGAGTGGGTGAGTGAGTGAGTGAGTGGGTGAGCGAGTGAGTGAGTGAGCGAGTGAGTGAGTGACTGACTGAGTGAGTGAGTGACTGAACGAACGAGTGAGTGACTGAGCGAGCGACTGACTGAGTGGGTGAGTGAGTGAGTGAGTGGGTGAGTGAGTGAGTGGGTGAGTGAGTGAGTGAGTGACTGAGCGAGTGGGTGAGTGAGTGAGTGAGTGGGTGAGTGAGTGAGTGAGTGGGTGAGTGAGTGAGTGAGTGTCTGAGCGAGTGGGTGAGTGAGTGAGTGAGTGGGTGAGTGGATGAGTGAGTGAGTGAGCGAGTGGATGAGTGAGTGAGTGGGTGAGTGAGTGAGTGAGTGACTGAGCGAGTGGGTGACTGAGCGAGTGGGTGAGTGAGTGAGTGGGTGAGTGAGTGAGTGACTGAGAGCGCGAGTGAGTGAGTGAGTGACTGAGCGAGTGAGTGAGTGAGTGACTGAGCGAGTGAGTGACTGAGCGAGTGGGGGAGTGAGTGAGTGACTGAGAGAGTGAGTGACTGAGCGAGTGAGTGACTGAGCGAGTGAGTGACTGAGCGAGCGAGTGACTGACTGAGTGAGTGAGTGACTGAACGAACGAGTGAGTGACTGAGCGAGCGACTGACTGAGTGGGTGAGTGAGTGAGTGAGTGGGTGAGTGAGTGAGTGAGTGGGTGAGTGAGTGAGTGAGTGACTGAGCGAGTGGGTGAGTGAGTGAGTGAGTGGGTGAGTGAGTGAGTGAGTGGGTGAGTGAGTGAGTGAGTGACTGAGCGAGTGGGTGAGTGAGTGAGTGAGTGGGTGAGTGAGTGAGTGAGTGGGTGAGTGAGTGAGTGAGTGACTGAGCGAGTGGGTGAGTGAGTGAGTGAGTGACTGAGCGAGTGGATGAGTGAGTGAGTGACTGAGCGAGTGACTGAGAGAGCGAGTGAGTGAGTGAGTGACTGAGCGAGTGGGTGAGTGAGTGAGTGAGTGACTGAGCGAGTGAGTGAGTGAGTGGGTGAGTGAGTGAGTGAGTGGGTGAGTGAGTGAGCGAGTGACTGAGCGAGTGGGTGAGTGAGTGGGTGAGTGAGTGAGTGACTGAGCGAGTGGATGAGTGAGTGAGTGAGTGGGTGAGTGAGTGAGTGAGTGACTGAGCGAGTGAGTGAGTGAGTGAGTGGGTGAGTGGGTGAGTGACTGAGCGAGTGGGTGAGTGAGTGAGTGAGTGACTGAGTGAGTGAGTGAGTGACTGAACGAACGAGTGAGTGACTGAGCGAGCGACTGACTGAGTGGGTGAGTGAGTGAGTGGGTGAGCGAGTGAGTGAGTGAGCGAGTGAGTGACTGACTGAGTGAGTGAGTGACTGAACGAACGAGTGAGTGACTGAGCGAGCGACTGACTGAGTGGGTGAGTGAGTGAGTGAGTGGGTGAGTGAGTGAGTGAGTGGGTGAGTGAGTGAGTGAGTGACTGAGCGAGTGGGTGAGTGAGTGGGTGAGTGAGTGAGTGAGTGACTGAGCGAGTGGGTGAGTGAGTGAGTGAGTGGGTGAGTGAGTGAGTGAGTGGGTGAGTGAGTGAGTGAGTGGGTGAGTGAGTGAGTGAGTGACTGAGCGAGTGGGTGAGTGAGTGAGTGAGTGGGTGAGTGGATGAGTGAGTGAGTGAGTGAGCGAGTGGATGAGTGAGTGAGTGGGTGAGTGAGTGAGTGAGTGACTGAGCGAGTGGGTGACTGAGCGAGTGGGTGAGTGAGTGAGTGGGTGGGTGAGTGAGTGAGTGGGTGAGTGAGTGAGTGAGTGACTGAGCGAGTGGGTGAGTGAGTGAGTGAGTGGGTGAGTGGATGAGTGAGTGAGTGAGTGAGCGAGTGGATGAGTGAGTGAGTGGGTGAGTGAGTGAGTGAGTGACTGAGCGAGTGGGTGACTGAGCGAGTGGGTGAGTGAGTGAGTGGGTGAGTGAGTGAGTGACTGAGAGCGCGAGTGAGTGAGTGAGTGAGTGAGTGACTGAGCGAGTGAGTGAGTGAGTGACTGAGCGAGTGAGTGACTGAGCGAGTGGGTGAGTGAGTGAGTGACTGAGAGAGTGAGTGACTGAGCGAGTGAGTGACTGAGCGAGTGAGTGACTGAGCGAGCGAGTGACTGACTGAGTGAGTGAGTGAGTGACTGAACGAACGAGTGAGTGACTGAGCGAGCGACTGACTGAGTGGGTGAGTGAGTGAGTGAGTGGGTGAGTGAGTGAGTGGGTGAGTGAGTGAGTGAGTGACTGAGCGAGTGGGTGAGTGAGTGAGTGAGTGGGTGAGTGAGTGAGTGGGTGAGTGAGTGAGTGAGTGACTGAGCGAGTGGGTGAGTGAGTGAGTGAGTGGGTGAGTGAGTGAGTGAGTGGGTGAGTGAGTGAGTGAGTGACTGAGCGAGTGGGTGAGTGAGTGAGTGAGTGACTGAGCGAGTGGATGAGTGAGTGAGTGAGTGACTGAGCGAGTGACTGAGAGAGCGAGTGAGTGAGTGAGTGACTGAGCGAGTGGGTGAGTGAGTGAGTGAGTGACTGAGCGAGTGAGTGAGTGAGTGGGTGAGTGAGTGAGTGGGTGAGTGAGTGAGCGAGTGACTGAGCGAGTGGGTGAGTGAGTGGGTGAGTGAGTGAGTGAGTGACTGAGCGAGTGGATGAGTGAGTGAGTGAGTGGGTGAGTGAGTGAGTGAGTGACTGAGCGAGTGAGTGAGTGAGTGAGTGGGTGAGTGGGTGAGTGACTGAGCGAGTGGGTGAGTGAGTGAGTGAGTGACTGAGTGAGTGAGTGAGTGACTGAACGAACGAGTGAGTGACTGAGCGAGCGACTGACTGAGTGGGTGAGTGAGTGAGTGAGTGGGTGAGCGAGTGAGTGAGTGAGCGAGTGAGTGACTGACTGAGTGAGTGAGTGACTGAACGAACGAGTGAGTGACTGAGCGAGCGACTGACTGAGTGGGTGAGTGAGTGAGTGAGTGGGTGAGTGAGTGAGTGAGTGGGTGAGTGAGTGAGTGAGTGACTGAGCGAGTGGGTGAGTGAGTGAGTGAGTGGGTGAGTGAGTGAGTGAGTGACTGAGCGAGTGGGTGAGTGAGTGAGTGAGTGGGTGAGTGAGTGAGTGAGTGGGTGAGTGAGTGAGTGAGTGACTGAGCGAGTGGGTGAGTGAGTGAGTGAGTGGGTGAGTGGATGAGTGAGTGAGTGAGTGAGCGAGTGGATGAGTGAGTGAGTGGGTGAGTGAGTGAGTGAGTGACTGAGCGAGTGGGTGACTGAGCGAGTGGGTGAGTGAGTGAGTGGGTGAGTGAGTGAGTGACTGAGAGCGCGAGTGAGTGAGTGAGTGACTGAGCGAGTGAGTGACTGAGCGAGTGGGTGAGTGAGTGAGTGACTGAGAGAGTGAGTGACTGAGCGAGTGAGTGACTGAGCGAGTGAGTGACTGAGCGAGCGAGTGACTGACTGAGTGAGTG